ACATATTTGCCAATGCATCCTCAAGCCTGTGATGTTCCTATGATTTAACTAGCCATTGGCTATTTGGTCACTAAAGCAGTCCATTATAGCAACACCTTCCTAAAATAATTGCATAACTCAATTTTGCCAACTAAGGACTTATTTTTAGGATGATAGTCGTCTCCATCCTGGTTCTACCTGTTGCTTGTTTTTCATGGGAGCTACCGAAAAAAGCTAGCATGTCAAGATACTCATAGTTAGCCATCTGATTCATGCAGTTTTTCCCTTGAGAAATATTCCACCTATTTTATCACCTGTTTCCACTACAAGACACTTGCTTTTATTTTTCTCGCATCATATTCAAAGAAATAACAAAGTGGACTTCGCCGCTTTCTCCCAACTTTTGCTGTCATCATTTGGTAGGTGATGCTGAGCAGCATCAGGCTGTAAACAAATGTTGTTACGGACCATGAGGTGCTGTAAGCTGCCCACAGCTAATGTGAAACTACCCAGTAATAAAAAATGAACCACTAAAGCAAAAAAGTGGATTTCATAACACTTTACTCCAGACAAGACATACTGTATGTGGTTTACTCTGAATTCCTCATTTACTAACTCTAATTGGACATTTTTTGGCACTCCATTCACTGACTTGTCAATCAATAGGGATGGCCAATCAGGATCCAGGATCAAGTGCCACCCCTCTGGCTTTGCCCCTGATCCAAACACTGATTTGTAAATCTTTACATTGCTATTAGTTTTACATTGTTTTTCTGCTTTAGTAATCATCGTCAACTGATTTTTTAAAAATAAGTTGTCTTGATTATTTATTAATGATTATACAACTAACACCCAAGTTTTGATGTTAATAATTTTCTTTCTGAAAGGCGGGAAGGCATATAAAATGTGACATCAGGTTTTTCACAAATAAATGGTAAACGGACTGTACTTATTTAGCGCTTTTCTATCCATCCAGGATACTCAACGTGCTTCACACTACAATCTGTAACACAACCATAGATTTATGTAAATAAAATTGTAATGAGAAACTCATTGGTGTAAGATTTAATAAATAGCATTTGCATAAAACACAACATTTTAAAGGCTTAGATTGACTTGAATATAAAAAAGACACAAACTGAAACCAGACATCACTTCAAAAGGCCGTAAATATTCTTCCAACGTTTTWTGAATCCATCTTCAAGCTGAGTTGGAGCATATTCAATCCCATTTTGCATCATGGTTTATACTCTCTCTGTCAAATCGACTTACTTTGAGCACAAAACCTGAACATAAACCTCAGTCAATACAGTCTAAAGAAAATACCATAAAGAACCTGTTGGCATCTGTTGTTAAAACAAAACAGATAAAGCAAGAAAACAACAAATCAGTGGTGACATTCCTAAACCACCATTTTTTTCCATTCACACTTACAGTAGCTTTCCTCAGCAGTGTTGGTTGAAAAAATAAATATTCAGATTATATTTRTTTTCTAAATGTTTCAGAAATTGCACAAAATATTGTTAGAAAGAAGCTTCACTTCTGTCAGTTTAGCAGCAGCCCTTAATGCCCCCATTCTTTTTATTAGTAATAGTGGAATTAACAATATCAGTAAAAGTTTTTGTTTTTTTACATACCTCTAACGTTAAAACTGTCTTCATTACATTGTGACACAAGTATTCTTAGATTTTGACTTTGCTTTGRGAGCTGGTAGAGGTCTGAAGTTTTGTTGGTTTAAGTTGATTTGAACCTGTGGTGGGATAATTGTTGGTTGGGGATTCTGTAYTGATGGCAATGTATCGTTGACATCTGTGGGTGTTATTGTTCCACAGCAGGTACACCTGTGGGAATATGAAGCATCCCGAGCAAAGTCACTACCTGTGTTTAGGAAAAGAGAGATTATATTAGTAAGCATATTTTAATATGTGGGAAAMAAGGAACTAAGCTAAGGGGCCTCTATCTTACATGATTTAAAGCATTGGTTCCCAAACTGGGGAGCACCAGAGAGAACAATGAGAAGCCCATAGACTTGTCTGCCCAGAGGTTCAAAAATGTATTTATTGCTTATACATAAAAAATAACCAAAACAAAACTTTTTTCAACTCAGTTTCTTTTTCCCCCTTTCCAAATAAAAGTTTGTGACAAYTTTATCCTTTTATCAAAATAAAAGAAAAAAGTTTTAATGCTTTGGTAGAGGTGGGGTGTTGGATTGACTCCCTCCATTCCACAAGGGGGCTTTATACTTTTGTTTTGAAGGACTTTGGATGAAACCAGAAGTAACATTCCCAAAACTGGAAGTGACTTTAAAACAAGCAAACAT